TAGAGGTGGTGGCGGTGAGAAGCGATAGTGAGGGGATTACATCAAAAGGGTGCTAAAGATAGCTTCAGCAATGGATGTGATCCCAACAGTAGGTGGGTGAAAGGGAGTGAATCTGAGATTAATTGGGATGTTTTGGGCTATTGAACAAAAAAAAAAGTAAATTACAAATATACCTCATGAAATTTGTTTAAAATACAGATTGTCCTTTGTGATTTAAAAAATTAGAAATACCCCCTTATTAGAATTTTTTATTTAACATAATTAACTAAAAAAATGAAATTTATAATTACTCTCCTATACAATAATAAATTTACCTAAATTATTAATTGAAACATATCTTTAACATCATTAAAAACTGTTAATTGACTTGATAATTTATTAATAAAAAGGACGATTTGTTATGAAATTAGAAACCTTAGGGGGTGGAATGTAATTTTCAAAATCACAGAGGAGTGATTCGTATTTTAATCAAATTTCAGAGAATATATTTGTAATTTATTACCCAAAAAAAAAAAGTCAAAATTCAAAAATAGCGCTGAAAGTGTCCAAAGAAATGGAGTACCCAACCAAACTTTTAGAATACATTTAAAGCCCACTCAAACAATGTTAGTATACAATGAGTTTCCCATTATAGTTTTTAAGTTTGCAAGTTTTTTATTTTTCGTATTTTTTTTATTTTTGTTAGTTCTTAAAAAATATTTTAATTAAATTATTTACTTTTTAGATGCACCTAAAACAAAATTCAGTACATTTTTTATGTTTTTTTTGTATTTATTGAATTTTTTGTAGATTTTTTTATAAATATTTAATTTTTTAGATATGTCTAAATTATGTATATTTAAAAATTTTAAAAAAAATGATTAATTAAATTATTTAATTTTTTTAAAAAACACAACAAAAAATAAAATAAGAAACTCAAAATATGAATTTAAAATTCTATTACTCTGAGAAGTGGGTCATGCCATTGATTATCTTCCATCGATAAATACTGTGAAATTGTTTGAATTGAAATAGTGGGAATTACTCTGCTTCTCGATTTCTCCGTTTGGCAAGGAAGGTTGGGGTTAAAATAGTCACAAAAGACAAAATAGGCTATTTTAGCCACAACAAACAAAACATCACATCCAACTCATAATCATTATACTCTTCTCTCACAAAAAAAGTCAAAAAAGTCAAAAAACCAAAAAGCCCTTCCCAAACCAAACTTTTTAGCCGAGGCTAAAATAGCCAAAAAAGTCAAAAAGCTAAAAAGCCAACCCACTTCCCAAACGGCGGCTTATTTTTATTTTTGGTTTTAAGAAAAAAGAGAAACTAGAAGGAATACTTTTGAACGTTGAGAGGCAAAGGGTGGAATGTAAGGTAAAGTTTCCTTCGAAGTGGCGCTAATTTTGTTTGACGAGGAACATCCATCATGTAGTCATGATTAAGAGATAAATGTTGTTTGTTTTTTTGTTTTTAATTGAGGAAATTAGTGAAAAATCTAATTTAAAGATGATATATGACATTAGATCAAAGGTAAAATTTTATTTGGTCATAAAGAAATGTTGGAAAATTTTGCCGGTATCAAAAAAATTGCCGGTGGCAGTGATTGGCGGCTGGCAACAACAAGTGGTGGTGGTGGTAATAGTGATAAGGTAGAAAGATATGTGATATTCAACAGATATGGTGTTGAATGAGTGACATGTATCATATTTCAACGATAAGTAGTTTGGTGAATTTTAACATATAAGAAAATAGGCTTGGTCAATTTCAACAAATAGCCAAATTAGATGATTTAAAGAGATAGACAGATAGGTTAATTGTAGAGTTATGTTAGAGATCCCAAATAAATTACCAAATTTTTTACCAAATCTTTCACATTGGTGTGGGACCCACCTACATGTAATTTGTGTGAATCCTATACGTAGAGCATCCACAATGGGATAGTTAAAATTATTTGTTAAAGCGTGTTATATAACAAAAAGTGATAAAAGTGAGGTCCAAAAATATTTGTTAAAATGTGTTAAGAGTTTGTTAATTTTAGAGAGTGAGTGGTAGTGTAATGGATGTGTTAGGGAGTGTTTTAAGGTGTGTGTTAAATATATATATATATATATATATATGTGTGTGTGTGTGTGTGTGTATAATAAATAAAATAAAATAAATAATTTAATTTAATCAAAAATTTCAAGCCCAAAATTAAATTTCAAGTCCAAAAAAAAAATCCCAGCATGTAAAAAAAAAATTCCGTTGGCCGGTCAATCGGCTGGACGTTCGGCCGGTCAACCCGTAACACAAAAAAACGCTTCCCTAGGCTAGCTAAAACGCTAGCCGCAGTTAACAAAGAACTTAGCAACTGACGCTAACAAAACCCACTAACACACTACTTAACACTTCCATCCAAACATTACTGTAGCTAGTTAAAATTTGGCCACTGACACTAACACCACTGCTGACTCGTCCATTGTGGATGCTCTTATGTGAGAGATTTGCTAAAAAATGTAGTAATTTATTTGAAGTCAATAGCATTTTCCTTAATTGTATCCTTTTAGCCCTATGATATTAGAGATTGGGTCTAATGACTCAAAAGATTAAGAAATGGGCATGTGACCTGAGTATTGTTTGTAATTTGATTTTTCCTTTATTCGACAAAATAAAATCATTTTTTTTTTTTTTGGAAGTAGAAGCAAAATTAATCATAAATTAATTCAATTGTAATCAATTATGTTAAAATTTACCAAATTACTTTTTTTTTATCAATCACAACTTACTTGGCGCACCATGTGGCAATACATAGGATCACTGAATAACTTCTCGCAAAAAAATAAATTGAAAATATTACATCAGTAAATTTTGAAAAAATTAATTATAAATCAATAAAAAAATTTCTAAATATTAATAATTAAAATTATATAGATTTTCATTAATTTGTTTTTTTTTTTCTACTCGGGTGTAATTACCCTAAAAATGAGCAAACTAAAAGTACCAGCACTCTCCTATCTTAAAATAAATATATAAATAAATAAGAAGTACCAGGACTCCGCTCGAAGTAAACAAAACTGAAGTCTACGTCACTACTTTCCTCAACGGTAAGTAAGCAAATCAACGGGGCTCAACGGCTATATTGATAACGATTGATCGACCCTAGCATGTTTATTTGAGTTAAAATAATTATATAGGATAAAGTTGCCTATTTTAAAATTAAATATAATAAAATATCATATTTAAATTATAATTTTTTTTTTTTTTCTCACAAAAGAGAAAAAAATCTATTCTAAACAAGATTTTTTAGTCCCATACTAAAATAGTCAAAAAGTTAAAAAATCAAAAAACTTACTAATATCCCAAACAAAGGCTAAATATAAAATGAGACATATATATCTCACACAAAATGAGTCTCATATATAAATCTCACATTATACATTCATTTGGCATAGGCTAAAATGAGACTGGAAGGTTAAAATAGTTATAAAAAAATTAAATAGGTAATGAGTCTCATATATAAATCTCACATTATGCTTTCATTTGGCATAAGTTAAAATGAGATTGGGAGGTTAAAATAGTTATAAAAAATCAAAATATGTTAAAAAATTAATAAAATAAAATAAAATATTAAATCTAAATTATAATTATTTCATTTTTTTTTACAAAAATTAAAAAAAATTAAAAAGTATATTCCAAAGGAAACTTTTTAGTGCAAGCTGTCTATAAATATACTCTCCTGCTAGAGCAAGACACCACCAACTCACAGCACAAGCAAAGAAATTTGGAAAGTAATCATGTTAAAAGTAATTGCAGGAGGAGATGGTGCAAAGAGGAAGAACTCAAAGCAACAAATCGAAACCAGAGTGTTGGAATCTATCATGATAGCTTCCTTCACAACTGTAACAGTTTTGTTAATCCTTCCTTGCGAATACATAAACGGAAGCCCAGTTCCCACGCTCATATTCAAGGGACTCCCTTTCACCTTCCAAGCATTCGTGGTGTCGCTTGCCTTCGCCTTCGCCGCCTCGTTGAGTGCTTTGTTAATCCATGATCACAACAACTCATTTCTCACCAAGTTCTGTCAATTCATTTCAATTGGTGCCATCACATCTGCTCTGTCTTTGTTGCTTTGTGCCATTTTGAATTTTGTTTTTCTGCATTCATACGTGTGATTTTGCTTTCCTAAGTTTTCTTGCTTTTGTAAGTTTCTTTCTTAATACTTAAGTTTTTTTTAATGTATTTCTACTTCAATTTAATCAAAATATTTTTTATCAGTGTGTACAATTCTGGTATTGTAATACCTCTGCTTAAATTTATTTACAGTAAACCTTACTCTATTATAATATCTCTGGTATTCTTATTAAGGTTCGTGTGGGACAACCATACGGTTTATATATTGGAACTCCTATGGAGATTCAAGGTTGATATATCGTGCCCTACTTTTTATGACTCGAATAATATTATCATATTCATTGTTATAATCAAATTTTATTGATAACATGTGAAAGCTCTATACAATAACATCAATAAATAATATAAGTTCTTTCATTCGTATATACGTTGGATGCAAAAAAAAATACATTTAAATGAAATGTCCATAAGCTTACATTATTACATAAAAAAAGAAGAGTTTAACCCTTTTACAACAATGACATATACCACCACCAAAAATATAAAGGTCTCTTGAAGCGCAATGCACGCCGTAAAAACCCTTCTACGACGTGCAGATGCACGTCATATTATGACCAGTAAAGGAAAGTCATTCACTTTCAACGACATACTCCGTACGCTGTTAAAAACTATTTAACGACAGATTTTGTACGCCGTTGTTACTTTTTCTACGGCTACTTTTGCACGCCGTTAATTGGTAAGACAAATAAAGACACTGATTGCGCGCCGTAAAATATGTAATATGACTTATCATGTCTGTCGTAGAACATACAATTTTTTTTTTTTTTTCTTAAATTCAACAAGTTCTATTTGACCAATTTTGTACAATCTAACAAATATTACAAACAAGCATCACAAAACATTAATCAACCACCAAAATATTGTTTGAAACATTAAAAAGAAACTATATCCATAAATTATAAACATTCAAGAATTATCTATACATTCTGAACATTCGAAAATTATATCCTGAAGTTCTAAATTGTACAAAAAGTTTAAACCATCCAAAACTATGAATATCTAACTTTCTAAACATATCAACAACTTTCAAGATTTATCGAATAAATCTAGTGATTGTGCAACCATACACCTCCACAAAAACTCCAAATGCAAATCTGGCTTAAATCCAAATCTCCTCACAATGTGATCACCAAATGAAAGTGGGGTCAGAGAATTCATCTTCCATTGAAGAGTAGATAGCACCAGAAGCTCCATTCTCTAGATTATCCTAGCTTCAAACACAAACTTTGATTCCTCCGCCTAATCACAACACAAAGAAATAAATCAATGACAACACAGAAATAAATCAATTCCTAATTAAGCTTCCAAACTGACCATAAAACAGCAAATAGAATGGAATTCCAGATTTTCCTCTCTAGTTTCGACAGATTTACACCGGCCCACCATTGGAGTAAGTCATTAACAAAGCCTGGTAATGCCCAAACTAAACCCCACCATCTAATAACATGTGACCAAAGTAACCAAACAAACAGGCAGTGCAATAATGCATGATCATCAAATTCCACCTCAGTCCTGCAGAAAACAGAAAGAACAATCAGTGTGTTTGGTTTGAATTTTTTGGATTAAATTTTTTAAAAATTGAGTTTTTTGGTTTTTGTATTTTTTTGTTTTTAGTGAATATTTTTTAAACTTTAAACATTTTTTTTTACTTTTTTAGATACACCTTAGTTAGATGTATCTAAAAAATAAAAAATTTGTGAAAAAATATTTTAAAAAATTAATAAATACATAGAAATACAAAAAATGTATTGAATTCTTGTATTTTTTTTTATATTTTTGGTATTTAGTGAATTTTAAAAGATTTTTTTTTACAATTTTTTTACTTTTTGGGTGTATTTATGTTGGATGTCTCTAAAAAGAAAAAAAATTACTTAAAATATTAAAAAAAATTCAGTAAAAATAAAAAAAATACGGAAAATAAGAAAGTAAAATTTTCTAAAAAGTGTTTTTGAAAAATGATAACCAAGCATGCTGATTAGCATTATTATTGAGAACTCCAATCCTTTGAAGATAGCTGGATGATTTGATCCTCATTCTCCATGCCAACCGCCCAAAGAATTGACCTTTGGAAGGGGTAACATTTTTTCAAATAGAGGCAGTAATTATACAAATAGGGCCCAAGGACAATTCAAACCAATGATAGACTAAGGAGACAGAATCTATTTGAGCAACTAGTAGACCACCTTAAATTGTCAAACCTATTGTCTCTAATAGCAGATGCAGTGAGTAGAGCATCATTTAATCTCATTATTTCCTCCACCTCCCATTGAAACAGAGTTCTAAAATTTAAGGTCCAGCCCTCATGATCATCATTTCTGTTGTACAAAGAGTTAACTGTACCACACTTGGCTTTTACTTTTGCTTACATCCTTTTAACTCCTAGACCCCCTTAGCTTTTACTTTTGGTTACATCCTTTTAACTCCTAACCCTTAAAATCCACTCAGCAGATTCTCTCCTTGCCACCATTAACTTTTGGTTACAACCACAATGCATGCTTATTTGCAAGTCATCCGTTTTATACCATGAATAATAGCCTAAATGGGTTTCGCATTGTTGCAAAAAAAAAAAAAAAAAAGAAGTGCAAAACATGGTTCTGCAGCAAATCTAATTACCTAACTAGTATTCCAAGCAACCAAAAAGAGATGATCAAAATCTAAGAATTTAATTAGAGGAAAAAAATGCAAATTAATATGAGCAATATTGAATTGAGGACCCGAAATTCCCTATTGATGGGTGATGCAAAAAACTGTTGAAACTATATCCTATAAATAATGTCGGTTGAGTGAATCACATTCTCTTCTATAATCAATGTAGAATATGCAGTTTTTTTAACTCTTGGAGATTGCCCCAATCCATCCTCAAAACCTGCTGAGGATTGTGTGTTTTGGTATTGGTAATATATAGGTAGTGTATATTTCTGCTGAGGGTGGTTAAAATCTTTAATCTCTTATGACAGGTACAACAGGATTTGAGATATGGAGAGAACATAAATAATAAGAGAAACGGATGAGGAAATAACAACACATACTTGTAGATTTAGTGACCGTTTCCGAGAATCAAGTTCCTCTGGGGTGAATTCAGCCTGATTGAAGCAGTGATAGACGCAATATGAATGTTTTTGATCGGCAAGCATTATGAATGTTACAGAAAATAAACATAATCATAACTAGCCTATCCATTAATTTATTATTTATTAATTCTATCAAAATAGAACAGTTTGTTGATGCTTTTGAACAAATTAATGGATAGGCTAGTTCCATTGATTGATGAAAATGTTACAAAGGTGAGAACTTTATAACATTTTTTCACTCAAATAATTAATGAGCTTAGAATAGTTTGTTGGATGAAATTAATTGTAGTGCATATAGTTTGTTAATGTTGTTGGAACAAATTATTCTTGTATTTAATTTTTAATGTATGTAGTAAAACAATGGGAGTTGATATTTCTTGTAGCTGAAGAAGAGCAAGTAGTAACATTGTTTAGTGTAATTGAGTTGAGTTTTGTTGTTCTGTTTTACTGAAAAGAGAAGAAGTATATTTTTAGGTTCAAGAATTATTTACCTCGTTGTCTTCAATTTGGACTTTGAGATGGTGCTCCTTAATTTGTTACTGTTAGCATGAAATTGAGTAGTCACTATTGCAGAAAACTATGCAGAACGACTGTAGAAAGGAGGAAGTCAATACCAAGAGGTACACTTCCATCCTTTTTTCCTTGCTTTTGCTATCTTTTTAAAGGGTTTCAGCTTTTTCTCTCACCACTGGAGTAAATAAACATCTATGTTACTTTTAAAAAAAAAAAAAATTATGTAAGCATGGTAACAAAAAAGTAGCAACACTAATCTTCTCAAAGGGGATGTGTAAGCCTCTTTCCTTTAATTAAGGGTGGTGTTCCAGTGAAAAAATTTGCCCATGTACACCACGTGGCAATGCCACATACCAATCACCAAATACCACCACCATGGCTGTCTCTTCAAACATCAACTTAAATGACGGACCGCACTATATAAAGAAATCGCATTCATTTTGCGCACCACATGCTCTATTCAAGTCCACATGGAGGGTAATCTGCTTGACTGGTTTCACCATTGATCCTTTACATTTATTTATCTAGAAAACATAGATTTTTTACCAAATAGGTTGCTGTAAAATTTGGTGTTACAACTCTCAGCCTATTGTTTTGTTCTAATTTTCTTTAAAAAACAACGAAGTCCTTTTTCACAAAAATAGGAAAAGATTTAAGCATTATATGTATTAAGGCAGCAAGCCAATCAACCCCAAAAGCTAGCTATTGAGGTGAGGGTGCCCTCATGCTTATATATTTCACATTTCCTTACTTCGGTGATGTGGGACTATGCTTCACAGCTATCAGATTGAATATTTTGGGTATCAGACAGGAAGCTTTGGGTTTGCAAAAAAAAATTCTTGCTTTTTCTACTAGATTAGTATCAAAGAAAAGTAATGATTTTATATTTGTCCATCAAAGAAAATGACGGCTTTTAGTGTTTGCTTTTGTATTTTCAAACAACACATACAAATGGGCTAACGTACAAAAGCAATCCTACTATCAGGGTTTATAGTTTTTTATTTATTTATAGTAATGCTATAAAAACAAAACCTTTTTTACAAACTTAGTTTACTAATTGACGTGGCAGATGAGTTATTCCTATAATTTAATTTCAAGGGTCCCATTTCAATACCAAGGCTTTTTATTTATTTATTGCGTGCCGTACCAGTTTTTGTAAAGAAATTTGGTAAATTTTTTTTATTTGCTATTAAAATCTCCTTGAAGTAGATATAACATGTGTTTGTTATTTTTAAATGGTTCATTTTCTTTTACATTTCTGGTTTATGTTCTTAAGTCTATATTTGTTGCATATATTTTTAAACGTCATAGACTGTACATCAAATTCTTTGGTAATTAATGATGACCCATAATTAAAGACACTTTTTTTTTTTGGATTGGAGTTGGATGATACTTTATGATGAAGCCTTTTCCGTTTCCTTGTTATGTACCTTAAAGAGATTCTGCTTTTAGTATGATTTTGCCAGTATGTTTATGAATTTAATTTTTTTTTTTTTTTTTGTCTGTATGTGTATGTGTACATAGGTATATGTTATTTATATGGGTTAATGGTGCTATACTGGCTTAAACTTCAAAATTTTTTGTTAGTGAACCTTGGCCTACTAAACTTGAGTTTATCGGTTCAAGACTGAGGACAACCAATTTGTATATTTATGCCAAGTGTTAGGTATGTACCCTATCTAACCTTACCCAAACATCTATTAACTTCCAAACCACTGTTAATGGGCGCTGATTGGGCGTTAGTTTTGCTGCTTTAAAGCAGACCAATTATTTGTAATTTTGTGTATAAAATATTTCTAAAAATTGAAGTGATTCCTGTTTTTGATAAACTACCACTACAACAGAAAAGGGTTTTTATTGCATCAAACTGATATTATGGTAAGAACTAACAGTATAGATGTAGAGATCATTAATACTTGAGTTTGGGCATCATCACTAGTAATAATGTTTCCCACTGTCCTAAGTGCGAGTATAAGAACTGTAGGCGATGGATGATTTGTGAAAAACAAAATGTAGTTAGTTAGTACTACTTTTACAAATTTGACCACTATAAAGAGAATAACACGTAATGAAATTTAGCCCTGAGAAAAGAAAAAAATATTCCACTACTTTGCAAAAAAAGGAGAATATACACCTTCTGAAAACAAACCCAAGAGAAAGAGAGAGAACGAAAATAAGAGTAAAAAAGGGAAGATCACTTTATAGGGTGGAAGGAAGATCAGCATACCTGCATGATTATCTCTTTCAAAAGTTTCCAGTGGGGGTCTCTATTAAAATTAGTCAAGAAATTCAAAAGAGGGCGTGAGCCTTTCAAATGATTTCCAGTAAGCTTCAATTCTTCCATGGTGTGCACTTGATAAACAAATCAAATATCAATAACCAGGTAACGGTTCTCAGTGTATTTAAGAGAATGAAAGGAGAAAAAGTTGTCCATAAACATATACATTTTAGAAAACCAGCAAAACAGGCAAGAGCACACGCCTAAATGCATTATAAATCTCGTATAACAATATCATTTGAGATTGGGGCAAAGAATTACCAGCATTTACTAAGAACTTCACTGATGGACCATTGGGACACTTTGCCATCCATAGATAAAGGTCTTTATGTTTTCTGTGCTGAAATTGTAGAAGAAAATGTAATCAACCCCATGAAAAAGACACAGTACAAAATATATTACTCTGCTCTATAGCTCCAACATGTTTCAATCCCCAAGCATCCTTCAAAAATCCTGTAGCACTAGTTACTCTATACAATATCAGAACCCACACCTAATTAACACACCAAAACATTACAAAAGAAAGTGAAACAAACTCAAGTTCCATGAATGACACTGACTCAAAACATATTCTGCTGATTCATTTGATAATCCATCAGTGATAAAAATAAATAAACAGAGCTAAGCACTACACTACTTATTACTACCAAAAGAGAAACAATTAAAACAATTACCTCAAAAAACAGGCAAGAAGAATAGCCTTTGAGTTCAACAAGCTCATTCAGTGTTGCACCTTTACTTGCTTTAGATTCAAACTTGTTATCCTTCTTACAGTGGGGCAAAAGTGACACCACATTCAACATCAAATGTCGATACCTAAATACCATAGAATTTATAAATGTCATTGTCATGGACTAATACCTCTGAGTTTCGACAAAAGGACCAAAATTGTCAACAGAATGATGGTTTTCTGGAAAAAAAAAAAAAGAGGTGGTCGTGGCATCTGAGGTACAGGCTGCCTATGATCATTGAAGAGTGAATCTGAAGGCCTACCCAAATAAACAAAGCAAAAGCCGTTAGATACTCAAAATAAACTGCAATAGAAGACAATAAGGCCAAGTTTGGCATGATTGAAAAAAGACAAAAAGTCAAAAGGTCATTATCCTATTTAAGTCACATCATCTTATTTAAGTCACATCACCTCTCTAACACATCACTTCAAACCCAACCCATATTTCATAAAAAGTCAAAAAGTACACTTATTTAGATCATCCCAAACAACAAGTCTTAAAAATGCTATTTGTCATGTAGAACAAGTGATAGAAGGATTAGAATAAAATTGATAGATGGGTGAAGGGAAATGCCGTCCACACACAGATAATTCAGTAGAATGATTCACGATCCATGAAATAACAAAACACACCCAGTACGAAATAAAATAAAATAAAATAAACACGATGACTTTTAGGATGCAAGTAAAGTAATTCTGAATAAATTAGACGAACCTGCCAGAACGTGTAGTAACCTCTCTGCTCGTGTCCACAAGGCCAGAACTTATATGGAAACTTTAAGAAGATCTTCGTGTACACCAACACATCACATTTCTCAATGGCCTCCATTTTCCACCTCTGTTTCCTAATTTTATTCATTTGTTAATTTTCGAGTATATAATAATAGCAATAAAGAAGAAGATCATGTCAGCAAGCATTCTTAGGTGAAGGGACCACAACCAAACAACCAAGCATGTAGAATAATTTAAAAGTATTGTATATATTTTAAAATTATGTGAAGATGTTATACATGTGCATTGGTTCACCAACTTCCTGCAAAGAATTTCTAGGCACAGAAGCTCAACCATTTAAACAATCCATAATCCGTATTTAGGCTTTGATGAACCTGTGGTCCAGGAGAATCTGTCAAAGTTAAGCACCTGCAAAGAGCAAAGAAACAAAGAGCTAGATTAAAATAAAATATAGCAGCTAAAATATATGGAATAAAATAAAATATAGCAGCTAAAAAATAACGAAACAAAGAGGGAGATTAAGAGGGAGACTAAAAAAAAATGAAAAAATACGAATGAGAAAAGAAACAAAGAAAGAAAAAATAACAGTTTAGATTGACTTGACAAACTTACATAGTATGAAGTAAACAGACAAAGTTTAGTTTCAATTCTCAGCTGTGTACAAATCCAATCTCAATTGTAAGCAAATTCACACAAATCGAAAAATTAAGTTTGAGTTTTCATATTTCAATTGTATAAGCAAATAGGGTTTTCTTCAATCCACGTCAATCAAATTAATTACAAGTGGTAAAAACTACAGGTGTAGCAAATTCAAGGTGAAGAAACTCTTGATAGGTTGAACAACGAAGGGGCAAAGATCTGATAAGTTGCAATTATAGTTAGGGTTTGAAATTGGGGGAACGAGCGAGCGAGCGAGAGAGAGAGAGAGAGAGAGAGAGAGAGAGAGAGAGTGAGTGAGTTTACCTGATGCAAGAGGAATCGAGAGGATCAGCAATGGTGGAGTGCAGGCGGCTCCACGCACTGCTACCGAACTTCCTTCATCTCTCCACCGAACCCCACTACTGCTCCAACGCTGCTCCTGTTACGTTTCGTGTTAGCCACATTCATCGTGTTTGCTCTCTGCCTTGGTCAGTTCGCCACCGACCTCACGGTGGGGAAACAGGGCGGCCCCACCACGCCGTGAGACATTTTTGGTGGTGGTGGTTTTGAATAGTGGCGTAGGGTTTGTGCTTGTGTGAATGGTAGAGAAAAAGAGAAACAGATGGAGTGCCAGGGAGACAAAAACACAGAAGGCTGGTTATCATTTTTCAAAAGGAAAATGCTAATGCTCCCACTAATTAGGTGGCAGTGGTCCCGTTATTAATGATGTGATGTTTTGGTCTTGGAGTTTTATTTTATTTTTTTTTTTTACTTTTTTAATGTATTAGTGCTATTAGTGGTGATATTTTTAGTGGAATGAATCATTGTTGTTTTTCAAAAATATTTTTGAAAATTTTATTTTCTTATTTTTTTGTATTTTTTTATTTTTATTAAATTTTTTTAATATTTTAAACAATTTTTTTAATTTTTAAACATACCTAATATAAATATATTTAAAAAGTAAAAAAAAAAATTAAAAAAAAACCTTTTAAAAATTTATTAAATATCAAAAATACAAAAAAATACGAGAATTCAGTACATTTTTTATATTTTTATGCATTTATTAATTTTTAAAAATATTTTTTCACAAATTTTTTACTTTTTAAATACATCTAAGTAAGGTGCATCTAAAAACGTAAAAAAATGTTTAAAATTTTAAAAATATTCACTAAAAATAAAAAAACACGAAAACCAAAAAACTCAGTTTTCAAAAAATTTAATTCAAAAAACTCAAACCAAAAACACTGATTTGTTTTTTTTTTAATTTTTTTTTTTTTTTTGGGTGTTTGGCGCCTGAATTTTTCATTTTCCCACTATTTTTTTTTGTCATATTAAAATTCCAATATTTTAAACGGCTGACTTTTTGTGCGTCGTGAAAAATGAAATTTTTAACGACTGGCTTTTTGTGCGCCGTGAAATATTCAACATTTTTAGGACAAATTACAAACACCCCCTTCGAGGTTTGGTAAAAATACAAATTTCTCCCTGAGGTTTGAGAAATTACATCTTGCCCCTTGAGGTTTATATTTTCATAACAAATTGCTCCCTGAGGTTTTATTTTCATACGGATTCCCCCCTAATTTGTTTTGTAAATTTGACCATCAGGGGGAAATTTGTAATTTCTCAAACCTCAGGGAGGAATCTGTATTTTCAACAAACCTCGAGGGGGTGTTTGTAATTTGCCCATATTTTTAACGACTGGTGTACACGTGTCTTATATAGTTGATGTGTTAACGGTATGCTAAATGCACGTCGTAGAAGGTTTTATTATTTACGACTAATATTGCAAGTCATAAAAAAATTATCATTATTAGCATTCGCGACCTACATAATAGACACGTCGTGATTGAGAAATTGTTTACGACATGCAAAAAAAAACAAGTCATAAAATTGAAAAACCACGGCTTGCATTTACTGTATGTCGTTAATGTGGAGCCGTAAAAGCTCAGTTTTGTTATAGTGTTTGACCTTAAATCACTTCTCAACTTGTACCTGAAAAATGTTTAGAAACGTAGGATAAACAACATAACGTTTAGTAGAGATCTCAAATAATTCTAAACAATAACAATATATCGATAGTTATTATTATAAATGCTTCACATCATATCATATAAGTAACGTGACAATTTTATAATCAAAATATACTTACATAAATACATATCTCCCAAATCATCATCTTTAACACAACAAGGTATAAAACTATTTCTTTTCTTTTCTAGGCTTTCATTTTTGTTCAAAACAATTGCATAATGACACTTAATTTTGAAAATATGCTCACATACACCAACTACACTTTCGTCTTGTGTCCCAGCTCACCACATGTACACACTCAACCTGATTTATGGTCTTAAACACAATGGCAATAGAACACCCACAACAATACACATATACATATATCTCCAAATGTGAATAATGGAAAACAACACATACTTCTATTTATACCAGCCCAAGGCACGGAGGGCTAATGATACAACTCACATAACACAACACGCTTTATTGGCCTCACTCGGACAGAAACGACCTGCAAATCACACTTTATTGGGTGCAAACCGGAAGGGAGAGGAATCTTTGTCAAGACGACACGCTTTATCCCCCATCCAAAAGGAAACAGACCCCAATTCACACTTTACCAGGCGCAAACCAAAAGGGAAATGAAGCTTTGTCAAGGCACCACGCTTTACCGATCTCACCTAGTGGAAAACGAACCCCCAATCTCATAACGCAACACTCTAAATTACATTGAAAATCTACGAACATAACACATACATGTATTTTATTCAACAGTAACAATATCATTCTCCACCGATGACCAACGACAAAATCTCTATCAATTAAATACACAACTCACTTAACTCAAATCCACAACCGATTCCATAATTCAAATCATTAGCGTTTTCAATAAAATCATTTCAAAACAATCATTTTCCCTACTCACTTTTCACTTTCCATTTTCTATTTTATTTCACAAAAGGGTTACACACATCATTTTGTTTTCAAAACTAAACCCGTTCTTCTAAATCTTCAACACTCACAACCGTTAGCCAAAGTCCCTTTTTAATTGTCAAAATCCCAATTGGTGGATACACAATTACAACCCAACACAACATAACATTAACCAAATAATCACAAGACCTGATTAACTTCTTTTTAGTAACCAAAACTCTAATTCATTAATGTAAACAAATAGCACAACAATTACCCAACTTTAATTCATTTATTTTATTAAGCCCTTAATTATAAATTAAGACTTTTCACCACTATAACATAAACGTAATTAACTACCTCACAATTTACCAAATCAATCCAAAACATAATTATTTAACTCTAAAAATTCAAAACCCTAAACCCCCTTCATGCCTTTCCAAAATCCCATAGCAAAACATGTTTTTAATGCGATGAAAACTACCACATGTCTATCTATAACAAGGTATTGAAAAGGAGCAAAAAAAATCTCTACCTCTAGAAGCGAAGAGGAGAGAAACCGACAAATCCACAACAACGAAGACACGATTTGCTTAGATTGAAAGGAAATAAGATCTACTCAGATTAAAAGTAAGCCCTTCCTGAGCTCTACGTTTTGGCATATGGAATTAGAGGTCAAAGATGTTTCGAAATAGATAAAATCAAGGGGTTAAAGAGCTTGGAAACTCAAAAATGGCGGAAAGATGGAAAAAAAAAGAAGGAAAAATGAGTCAAAAGTGGCTTTTAAAGTGGCTAACTTCAAACAAACCTCTCAAGCGATGAAACAAGCACTCGAGCATTACAGACACATTACCGCTCAAGCGGTAAAACCTCCGTTCGAGCGTAGAACTCACGCTCCCAAAATCTCAAACTATACAAGGAAGAGACCACTTGAGTGAACAATTACCGCTCAAGTGAATATCAAAAGCTCACAGAATCTTAAACTGCGGACCAAAGTACTGGACGATTCGAAAGACCGCTTCAGCGAACAAACCTTTGCTTGAGCGAAGAGGAAAACCTCATAGTGCTACATGACGCAACTCCCATAATTCAAGTCATCTAATTTTAAAGTCTAAAATGCAAAATTATTTGAAAATAGCATCTTTTTAGATAAAAGGGACTGGAAAAAAAAATAAAAAATTGTAAGATCACCATTATTGTCTATCTAAATACCAGTGTCGATGAACATACATAATCATATAAAAAATAAAAACTGAAAGATACATTGCTCCAAAATAGAAAATAAAAAATTGCGACATGAAAAAAAAAAAAAAAACTATATTATGATGCTACAAAGAAATTGACAAAACTTTTTTTTGATGTTGAAGTTGTTTCCACTATAGAATGTAGTATTTTTCAATTATGGTCGAACTAAGGTTTTAATTTCAGATAACTCATCCAAAGCATATAACAAGGTGTATTAAGGGGATAACCAATGTAATTATATTAAAATTGTAGGATTTGTTGTATTTTCTCCAAATTTTAATGGATGTCAGTGTAATTTACTTTTCTTTTTTTTCAAAGTTTAACAAATTTAGGTGACAATTTAACATCTTTAAAAATAAAGACTTCAACCAATGTCTCAAATTTGTTATTTTATTTTATTTTTATTTCAATCTTTTTTTATTTCAATTTGTGTTTCAATTTTTTTTTTTCCTAGATAAAGGCTACTTAATTTGGGTTCTACATAATAATAATAATAATAATAATAATAATAATAATAATAATAATAATAATAATAATAATAATAATAATAATAATAATAATAATAATAATAATAATAATAATAATAATAATAATAATAATAATAATAATAATAATAATAATAATAATAATAATAATAATAATAATAATAATAATAATAATAATAATAATAATAATAATAATAATAATAATAATAATAATAATAATAATAATAATAATAATAATAATAATAATAATAATAATAATAATAATAATAATAATAATAATAATAATAATAATAATAATAATAATAATAATAATAATAATAATAATAATAATAATAATAATAATAATAATAATAATAATAATAATAATAATAATAATAATAATAATAATAATAATAATAATAATAATAATAATAATAATAATAATAATAATAATAATAATAATAATAATAATAATAATAATAATAATAATAATAATAATAATAATAATAATAATAATAATAATAATAATAATAATAATAATAATAATAATAATAATAATAATAATAATAATAATAATAATAATAATAATAATAATAATAATAATAATAATAATAATAATAATAATAATAATAATAATAATAATAATAATAATAATAATAATAATAATAATAATAATAATAATAATAATTTAGCCAAAGTCCCTTTTTAATTGTCAAAATCCCAATTGGTGGATACACAATTACAACCCAACACAACATAACATTAACCAAATAATCACAAGACCTGATTAACTTCTTTTTAGTAACCAAAACTCTAATTCATTAATGTAAACAAATAGCACAACAATTACCCAACTTTAATTCATTTATTTTATTAAGCCCTTAATTATAAATTAAGACTTTTCGCTACTATAACATAAACGTAATTAACTACCTCACAATTTATCAAATCAATCCAAAACATAATTACTTAACTCTAAAAATTCAAAACCCTAAACCCCCTTCATGCCTTTCCAAAATCCCATAGCAAAAC